AACTTGATTTGCATCTCTTCAGTGCTAATACTGTTAATAATATCTAAGAATTGACAAAATAATTCACATACAGTTGTATCTTCAGTAAGAAGGGCTTAAGTAAAACAACTTGTATTGACTTTAAGTCTTTCTTCCCAAACATTAAAGGTATGTGTTTATACACAAAGTAATTATGTTAATGATTCAATTATTAATCATTGAGCTTCATGGTTTTCCTTTCAAATTATTAATAAGAATATAGATACAACAGTAAACTGTAATCACAAGTGTGAAGAGGAAGAATGGGTATAAGAGCCATAAATTTGACCATACAACATCAATGATTACACTCTTATTGGAACATACAAACTGTTAATGTTGTATGATATAAAGTATGAGCTATAAATTATTTTGTTACAACACACAAACAACCTGATAAAAACATCCCTAGCAAGTCATTATGAGCTACAGAAAATTCATATACATGAAATTTATAATTTAAGCAATCCCCTACATTACACACAGTTCAAGCAAGAAGTTAATTAAACTTTACATTAATTACAACATTCAACACAATAAAGAGCTGACAGGTATAAATACCATGGCATTCTTTGGTGAGCCCCTGAAAATGAAAATGCGTTCATTTCGGTTTTCAATGTACGCAAAATGATATGTAGAATGTTCAGACATACTATATACATATGCAGTGAATAATGCTGATACAATCTGCACAGGGCACATTCTGTTCAACAATTTCAGTAGTCTTTCTATATCAGCAAACACTGTCTATATACACCGAGATATGCAAAAACATTCCATCTCTACTTATCAGATCAGCACCTTATTTAAAGCAAGTGGAAGAAGTGGACTTGTAGTATAAAGTATCCATGATAATTACAAACACATTATTAAGTATTTGAATACTTCTTTCCATGACCATTGTACCCTAATTCAATCATATATACAATGACACCACCACACGCATACATGGGCTTATTTCATAAAAAATTGTACTGGTCATTTTTCGGAGGAACGCGGTTTAACCCTGCAAATACAAATTCAAGTAAATTTGAGTTAAAATATAAAAAATGCTTAAAACTTGTTTAATATCATAATCGTAAAAATCTGACATATTTCAACCTCTGTGAATTAATGGGGTTCCTGTTATTTTGAAAATTGCCAGCAGTCAAGCATTGCAACATCTGTTCAATTAGTTACATGCCTTTGTATACAGTTGTTACTGTGAGGTATAACATTATTTATTTTATTAGTCTTATTTAATGATGGTGTCAGCAGGTCAAACTACATTGAGTCAATACAATATGTTACTATGTAAGTTACAATAACAAATATTTATAAAGGTATGGTGACAACTTTCAAAATAACAGGAACAAATGACAGCTTTATCTGATGGTGTCAATGTATATGCATATATATATTCTCCATCTTTACTTCTTGAATCGTAAGAATCACTTTCTGTCTTCTACAGTTTCAGCCATTTCCTGTTACCAAATAATATATAATCGAACATTAAACAGTCATGACTTTAGGAAGACTTCTGTTTCATGTTAAATGAAAAAAAAATATTCACTTCTCTTCTCAGAACCACAGAATATGACACACAGCCATTTTATAACATTGATTCCTTAATTATACATAGATTAAAAAATTACTTATCACATGCAGAGGTTATTTAGGGTCAAATTAAATTACAGGATATGATATACAGGCTGGGTGGGAAGTAAGTAGGCATTAAATAATCGCTAAGCATTGGAAATATAGAGGTTATAACCATTTCTCAATGCCTACTTACTTCCCACCCACCCTGTAGAGTTAAATGGAAACAATCAGGAAAGAAGTAGCCATATTTCAAGGTACACTGTGTTATCATTCATCTGGAAGGGCAAGAAAACTATGAGAAAAAGCAATCAAGATATCTGGTGCTCTGGCTCAAATTAAAAATGGAAACCTCTTGAATACAAATGTGACAACACATTAACAGTACTGATTTAGCTCTGTCACTTCTCGCTTAGCTGAGACTTAATTTCCCTTCCAAGTTTCTTTCACTGAATCCTGAGAATGCTTTCAAACCTGCTGAAGTTCCAGGTTTGATAATGAAAAAGAGTCATGTCGCTGTTCTTAAGCACTTAGCAAAAAAAGCCTATCAAGGGTGTGAAGGTAATGCTTAAAGTATTTTAAGTCTGAACACTAGATGGAGATGAGTGACAAAACTGGATAGAGGTGAGTGGTAGCATCGAGTGGAGGAAAGTGGTAGCACTGGGTAGATATTACTGATAGCATTATATGGAGGTGAATAGGTAATCCGAGAAGATAAAGACCAAGAAAGCTGTGGAAAGTGAGCATCCTACAGGCCATAACAAGTAATAATGGAACCAGATGATGTGCAAATCCAGCAAGAATGGATTTGGGGATGGCAAGGCAGCAAACAACTGAAAAAACATACTACTACTACCACTGCCATCACCATCACCCACCACCACCACTACTGTTGCTGTTGTTGTTGTTACTACTACATGTAGAAAAATCAAGTAAATACATTAGTCTTAAATATGACTATTAAAGATCCAGACTTCACTTACTATTTCATTTGTCAGAATGCACCATAAAACATGGACATGTTTGTTTTACTAAGTGTCATTGGAACATTAAGCTATAAGTTATGAACATTGTTGGTAACAAAGATAAATCTCGGAGAGAGGCTATTTTACAGAACAAAACCTATATGAAAGACTAGAAAACAAATTGAAATCATTATTAGTTTCCAAAATCTGGCAAATGTAGAGGAATCTAAACAAATTTCCATGCAAATTCTGATGTGCAAACTGCTGAATATGATGACTGTTCTTCTGACTGGCTGTCTGTATGTTCAAATCCTGTATAAGTATCCTGAGCATAACAATGCAGCTGCACCAAACAGTACACACAGGCCAGCAGTTTCCCATGCTGTTGAACCTATATCTTATAAGAATAAGGAATTTAAACCCCTGTACTATGGGGCTACTGGCCCAACTTAACTCCAGGATTTAATGGTTTAGCAGCGTGCTACTTTGAAGCACAGCTAGCTGAACTGTGCAGAAGCAGTAACTCAGCCAATGAACATTAAATAGAAACATATATTCTCTACTCTGAATTCATATAGTATAAACAATTTCAAGAGACAAGAATATGCCTACTTTATGCAAATCTTGCAAATAATTGGCATGAGAATTATTTTGGTTATCAAGACACATCCTTATAACATAAAGCTGAACAAAAATAAATTATGTTAACATCAACATCTATTCATGAAGAAATGCAAAATAATGCCATACCTGGGCATTCAGTAACCAACATTATTGTACAGCTTGAAATGACGAGTGGGTGTGAGATGTCACTGATGAACCTACCATATTGATCTGTTAACATTTCTCCTTGCTTAAATTAATGCTGATACTGTCACTGTGTATGTACTTCAGCAGTTTCCATGCTATATACAAGATGACTTGCTTACAAACATCAGCCTTCAGCTCTGAAGGAAACATCTTAACTCAACAAAGCAACTATTTGTAGCTTTCCACAAAATGACATTTACAGGTTATAATGTGCAGAAACAAGGAATTTTTAATTGAAACATGGAAAGGGGCTATAACATTTAAACCCTTTCTATGCCAAGTTTAAATGGGAAAATAAATGCCTCTATGTATATGAATACATTTGTAGTTTATGATGAACATCAAAAACAACTTCAAGTGGGAAATGATGACAAGAGCTACTAAATACTGCATCAAAGATGTTCAGATCAGAAGTTGGTGCATAAGGCCTCTCCTTTATCGAGGAGCATTATTTAAATTATATCCCATGGTTTATCTACTGTTCTTTCACCTAATTCAAAATGTGCCAAGACCACTCTATAAAATGTTAATTTTATTTTACAATTTATTCCTCTCTCTGTGCTATCATCAGGGTCAATTTCCATAAGTATGCGACTACCACCACATTCCAAATGTTTTAATACCTCTTGAGGGTTATGTGGGAGAAAATTAAATCCAGTATGGTCTTGACAATTATGAGCATACCTATGTGCTCTTTAACAGTAATAATTTATACTATAAAATCATTATGTGGAACTAGATATAATAATAAAAAGAAAGGAATGTATAATGATCACAAATACACTATCCCAACGCACAAGCACACACCACACACACATAACATTACATGCAAAAACGTTACAAATTTTCAACTGTACTCAAAAAATAATTCCCTTCATATAACTAGTAAAACTGTATATACTTCATATAGTATATAAAAATATTAAAACATAACTGAAGTGTTATTAATCACATCTTCAGAACATTCTGAAAATACTGAATTGTCACACAGTCCTTTATATGCTTGTATAGTGAGTTTGTGAAAACATTATTGTTACAAAAGAGGATTAGCATATTATTGTTACTTAAATCTTCAATCAATTAAAACTTCACACAACATCAAAAACTACTTGTTCATCCTTCACAAAAATTTCTCAGTGAGAACACAGTTCAATTACATTTATACAGTTGGCACAATAATTTAACATAACACATGAAGCAACCAGGACCATCCAAAATTTATTTTACTTCACATCTGTACTATGTTAAATCATTAAAGTTCTTCCACACAAAATGTTCAAGACTGATGCTTATAAAATGAAGACATTCTTTGTTCCATGCAATTTTTTAGGCTTGCCTCTTCAAAGAAGTTTGAAATGGGTGTGTGCATGCTGTAATATATGCAACTTGTAGTCATAATTGACTAAGGAAAACTGACAGATACAGAATGAAACCTGCCCCAGGGCCACTTTGTCCACAAATTCCACATGGACTACCTGGAACAAATTCTGTCGTTCTGTGATGAGAAATCAGTACCTTACTGGCAGATGAATGGCATGACCTATCATGTAGATGATGGTAAAATTCTCACTGTGCTTAGGAACCATAACCTGAAGATTATGGGGAGTGGATGAAAAGTGTCCTGTGGTTACCTTCACATACTCCAGCTCTTTAGCAATGGGGAAAGAATTTCCAATTCCCATCAGAAAACATGCTTAACAGGCCCCACAGCTAATCTGGGCACAGTAGTAAAGAGAGAAGTTCTTGCCTCTACTAAGAATTGAACCCTGGTCATCCAGCATGTAGCCAGTCACTTTGCTTACAGAGTTCTTGTGTTATAGAAAATTTGATGATGTTCCTTAACCCTTTTGTATCAATAAACCGTATCACTCAACTTTTTTTTTATTTAATTTGAACAGCTCCAAGGTTATGCAAGTCCCAATAAATGGATGAGTGCATAATCAGTACACCATCTTAGAACCAACTTTTGACAACATGCACAGAAAATACAATGAATACCAAGCAGCATTCTTAAAACCCTTCAATGTATGTAGAATAGGACTTTTCACAACTGACCAAACATTTCTTTTGCACCTGTTACCCACTAAACCTCAAAGTTACAGTGTAAGTAGACATTTGCTGTGTGTATTAATATCCCAGTTATTTATATATACTTTAGGCAGGTAACCATTTTGCAAGATGCTAACTGAAATCAGTTGTACAAACTTAAGAGTTTCAACTGCAACCCATATCACATACTTATATGCAAGAAATAAATGCATTAATGTTAAAGTAGCCAATATGAATGCCAATGGTCAAGTTTTGGACACTACTACACATCTACTGTCTTGAGTCTTCATAAGCCAATCAGCTTCAGAGAGTTGGTATATAAAGTATTTAGTTCCTTCAAGCACCAAGCTGATGCTATTTGTATGTGTGTATGTATGTGTGTGTGTGTGTGTGTATCTGTGCCACTCACCTTCATGCAGTCACTTTAAAGATAGATTCTGAAAGGAAATACACACTGCATATGTAATGAAGTTACAGAAATTAATTTAATCTCCGATAATATTTAAATAATTGTTTTTGTATTGGGTCTGAGTCTTGAAAATTATAACAAGTTTCTTGAAAATATGCCTCATTTTACACACTAAATTTTAGCTGTTGTGAATTTTAATTCAAATCATGTTCACAGAACTTCCAACAGAGAAACTGTCAAAAGCCTTAAGTTTTGTTGATTTAGGCTCCATTTAAATCTAACAGTCCAATACAAAATCATATTTAGTGTTACGATTATAAAAGTAAAAATATAAAATTACCCCTTTAAACAGAATTTTTTAACTTAACTTTTTAAATGGCAAAGAAATTAAAAACAAAAAACAGAATTATTTCACTTCATCGCAGAATTACTTAAGTTGCATTTAACACTTAATATGAAGATTCCATACAAATCTCTGGTGATACATTTGTTACACATGTGTAAACCTGTACATTTCACAGACACAAAACACATTCACGGCAATATGCAGCCCTGATTCAAATTGCTTGCTGATGCTGTGGCAGCTGTTCTACGCAGGGTAGCCTTATTGAAATTACAAATGGATCCCAGCAGAGCAGTCCGTTCAGGGGCTGCACTTGGAACCGACTGCAATGGCGATGGTGCAGAGGGGACTGGAGGGGGAGGCGGTGGGGAAAACTCAATTAAACCTGGCAATATAAAAAAATTAAACAAAATGAAAAGAATATTTCTAGCAGGTCTTTCCAATTATTTGCTTAAAGCAATATAATACACATATGTTCATGCACAAAAATTATACAGGTAAGAGATAAATGTAAGCAAAACATATAATGAAGAAATCAACATGTAACAGAAAATAAACAACCATTAATTCTGATTTCTACAGTACTGTAACAAAAAGTAATATTCTTGACCACAAGAAATTTTGTACAATCATGTTTCAATTTCAGACTTTCGACATTAATACCACATCAGCTATAGAAGATTTTATAACTGACTGAATAATCGATGGCAAATAGAATGAAACCTTACAGACTGTCCACAAATGTCACCCAGGCAGACCAACTAGTTTGGGATATATCAGACTGTTAAATTACGTAACACTTCACACTTTCACTCTCTCTTAGGTACAAATATTCTCCCCAGTACCTTGTTCTCAAACACCCTGAATCTATTTTGTGCCATCAGATGCAGATAATTTCTCATGGCCAAGAAGAAAACAATAAAGCTACAATAAAAGAACAATCTGAAATAAATATACATGCAATCATGATGAAGCTTAAAACAATCTAAACCTACAGAGTCCTACAGACTTGATTTCTGCTGCTATCATCCACGATCAGCTTTTCAGTCCTATGAAAAGGAGACAAGATCCACAAAATACAAACAAATTTGGGAAAGAAAATGTTTACCTTTTACAAATTTTCTGGATTATAATTTAATTTAGCCACTATTGTTACATGTTAAAAATGTCCAGGCACGAGATTATTTTGTACACAAATGGCCAAGGCTCAGAGTATTACACTTTTCCATACCGGTGGCTCAGTTTGCATCTGCAATTGTTCGACTTAAATCGGCTGCTGAGACTTTTAATCGAACTGTTTTGATTATATTTACAACTGCAAAAACAAATATAAATTTAGAAGTTCCTATATGTAACTGTATTTGGTGCTACCTCTGATGATGGTAGTAATGCCAAAATATGCTACGGAACAATTTCAGATAAATTTTGCAAATAAAAATTTGAATGTTGTATATGTAAAACTGATATTGTACCTGATGGATATGTATTACAGTTCCTGAAACAATGGTATTGGCATAACAAGAATTAAAATCATGAAGTTAATATTTTTAAAACCCTGCAAAGTAAGAAAGTCAGTACCTTTCCATGCAAATATTTTAAAAACACCTTTAATACAAAGCTGTTTCAGTTCTATTACTTCCTTCATAATTAGAAAGCAAGCACAATGTAAGCCAACAACTTTGACACAGTCCATCAATTCCAGTTAAACACAGGAAATTGAAACTTACAATTACCTGAGGGTGGAGTCACTGTACCAGCTGATGTGGCAGTGCTGGTACTATTAGGGCTTTCAGATCGCTCTGGAGATTTTCCATTGGATACTAATTGCTGATGCTGTTTCTGAAGCTGCTCTTTCTAGAAATAGATCAATCCACAAAATAATATAATCTTCAAAATATCAAAACCACATATTAAAGCAAATCAGAGAATTTCAGACAAATGTTGCAAAATGAATGCACAATAATACTGTGATGTTTCTCAGCATTAGTAAAAAAATTTCTGGTCAACTTGTTACATGCCCTATTATTAAGACAGAATGACAAAGATTTCTTTGAGGTTTATAAAGTTGTGGTTGAGATAGATCTGTCTATCCTAATGAAATCACTCCTAATTATGAAAAATGTTAAAATTTAAATTGTACATAAAGCAAGTGACATGTGACATTAAAGATTGATGCGAAGCCAGAAAAAACTTATCTTCTCAGGGTTCATAACCCTGATGATAGGGACAAATGATTCCCAAAACGTTTCTCTCTTCATATAACCATCTGATGTGGCTGACTGCCTGAGAAGATTTTATTGATTTTAGTCGCTGTCAGAGCATCAAATCATATACCAGAAAACTCTTTACCTGTTTTTGTTTCCTCTTCTTCTTCTCTTCTTCATTACTAAGAAGCTCTTGAACTCTAACAAGTCTTTTCTGATGTCTCACCTAAATAAACGATAAAAAATACATTAGCATCATGAATCCCCTTTTAACATACCAGGTTGCAAGGATAAATGTGGCTGTGAATTGATAGGAATTTAACCCCTCGGGCTGGTTCCACAAACCATATATGACATTCACCACTCTGCCTGTAGAGTGGTTGTATGTATATGTGGTCTGCAGCATCTTGAAAATATTCACATGGCTCCCTCCATGGAGGAAATTTAAACTATATAAACTGCAGCATATTCTACTAATCTCAATGCTTCCCACAATCTGTTGTTTTATCTAAACTTGCCATAGTCAAGCAAAAACTTAACTTGGTGATCAGTCATACCCATTAGTCAAGAAACACTGCTGCTTCCATTGATTCTAAATATGTTCCAAATCAGCTATACAGAAAATGATATAATTATGTTGAACATTATACTATTAAATTTTCCACAAACATTAATTACATTCTGAAGATTTCTGTCTTCTGGGTTATTGCGCTGTGTAGTCTGGTCGATGTTAACCAACGTTTCAGAGGTCATACTGCCTCCGTCATCAGGGCGATGAATATGCCAATAGGGTGTGAGGAGTTGGATTTTATAGACAGGGAAGTGAGAACCTCAAGTCTTACAAATCTATATGGAATAAAATTAATATCTAATAAGTACTATGTTCATTATAAAATGTAACTGAAAATGTTTTTCTGTGAATATATCAGAGTCCCTGCATATAATATTAGAAGCATCTACCAGAAGGGAAATTTTTATTTTAATAGCCAACTTGGAACATAGAAAACGTAGCATGCACAGTGAAAAGAGAAGGACTAATCAAATAAATCCTCGTGGTCTATATCAATGTGCCATCGCAGCTTTAGTTTGGCTGAGCGAAGAGACCACAGAAAACTTTAAACGGAGACTCGCCCAGAAGCGAACTGCGAACCTCGCGAATAGAAGTCGAGAGCGTTACCGCTCGAATTCAAACTCATATATCAAATACTGAGATTACAGAGGTCACATCTGATTTATGAGGTTTCTAAAATCCAGCCCAGAAGATACAACAGAGACTGGAACTGTCAACAAACGGCTCAGTACTGTGACAGTTTGGTTAAGATTAAAACTAGTACTGTCAAACAATGCGGAGGCCTGCTTCTTCATGAAGTTTGTCGTCCAAGGGCATGTTAAGGCCGCATTCTGTTCGACAACTTAAAAATATGACAACATATTGAACAGGGTGCTACACAGCAATTTAAATGCCACTAAACAGCATAGTGTAGGAGGGGAGGGTTTAAAAACCAGCTTGATCATTAAGACAAGCATCAGTAATCTTATGAATCACTTGCATAAGTAAAAACATGAAATATAAAAACAGCATTAAACAATATACATGTCTCAGAAAATAATGACATAGAAGAATACAGAAATATAAAACAAGGGAAATATTTTTGAAAATTTTGTTTTATTTCACAAGTTGACTTCATGATGAGATCCTCTATAAAGAAGTTCAGAATAATGAAGGATACTTGTGATTTGAATTGCAAAGGTAATTTGTAAAGTGATGAATATTCAAAGCATGCTGTTACAGAAAATTAAAAGTACCAACTTTCCAGCTTAAATCCAAAATGTGACCAAAATATTATAATAGCATATAAGCATATGTAAATATGGTATTTTACTGCCCAATAAATAATCACCACAGTGTTCATAAAAGCCGAACGCTAGATCCCACAAACTACTTACACAACATCTATTTTAATATTATCTCACATCTATTACTCAGGATGTACATATTCAAAACTTAAGATTAGAGGTTGGAAATTATAGGGGAAAGTTGTGTGTATATTTTAATATATGAACTGTACACAAACAACAATAATTCGTACCCTCCAAATTTCAGACTCTGTCCGAATATTATCCCAGGGGTTTCAGGTGTACAGCATAATTATCTACTTCAATTAAAAAGAAGACATGCAAATTATAATTACTCAAATATGATGAAGAGATGTATACAATATAAGACCACTTAAAGAAAAGTTAACTGGGTAATTACTTATTACTTTCAGGAAGTTTTCTTTTCTCGCCCTTAAATTAGAAATTTTGCCATGGTAGAAGTGTGTTCTTATTAACATTATTTGGAGTAGATGTATTTAAGTACTCATTTGAATACATCTGTATTGTTCTGTATATGTCAGGCTGGATGAATACTCTAATGGGGAACAAAGCACAAAGATGTGAAGCTTTCACAAGAGAGACATTTCCAAAATGACCCACACTGGCCTAACTTCTTTACATAATTACAACTATAGGTCTCAGTATATCGATGGTGTTTACCCATGGCAACATTTGAAAAATTGTATTTGTGACCCAAGTCCATAATTCCACACTCTCCTAACAGATTACCTGAACCACTAAACATCATCCTACACTTGTTCCTAATCATGTCAGAGAAAATTACACATTTGTCCATTCTCTGTGCATATCTTTAATGCCCATGTATTCTGTTGTGATTCTTTGTACCATTTTCTGTTCATCCTTCAGTCGTATCTCAATCTTCTGACGAGCTACTTTCAAAGCTTCCTTGACATGTGATGAGAACTTGAGGTGTGGTCGGTCAGACTGTGAGGGGTTGGTGAGATGGTGAGAGTATGCTAGTTCGGTGCTATTAAAGAAGGGATGTGTCAGAAGAGCTGCTATTGTTGGCAATCCACCTTTACATGCTTCGGTGGACAGGATAGATTCCAATACAGACTCTACAACAAGTCAGAGAATGATTGTATCAACATAGCACCCAGAAAAACCTCATGTACTTTCAAAGAGTAATGATATACAGTATCTGCAATTATACATGAATTCTATAGAGGGAATTAATACAATATCTACTGGAATTCTGGAATGTGAGATGTCATATATGTAGTTTTTGCTCCATGTACCACAAACCATTCAGATAATTTACCTACCTTTGGCAGGTCTTCGATCAACTGCAGTGATTTACATCTACCCTTTGTTTTCGCATTTAACTACACCAATTTCTGTCAGCAGTACACAAATTAACTACAAATGCCCACGAACTCATTACAGTGTACATTAGGCACAGCACTAAGCCATATGAATCACATTTTACCATATCAGTTAAGGAGACCTGGTGGCTTCAGGTAAGGAAAGAGACTTTGTCCTGGGTCAAATCTAGACTTAAGCGGCCCATCCACGTAAGAGTCTGGCTTGTGAGTCCGGCTCGGCTCGGGTTCCATTGAGCCAAACTCGTTTGTGGGTGGGGTGTCACGAGCCGAGTCTTCTATGCATGTGTGGTGAAATATATCCGAGCCCGGCTCATGAGTCAAGTTCGCCGAGCCAGACTCGCAAGTCAGACTCGTACGTGGATGGGCCACTTTAAACTGCTCTGGACACAGGTCAAAGCCTCTACCCAAGAGACAAGAATGAAGAAGCCCTTATTCTGGTTTGGAGTACACAGTAAGCTTACACTCTGTCTACTTGCTATCATTCGCACTGTCATCACATCACTGTGAATAGCAGAAACTACTCCATCTCAAAATAGGATTCCTTCCCTCAATAAGAGGGCAGAAGTTAGGAAGGTTTGTAGGAAATAACTAGACATGTTTTACTTCAGATAAAATGCATTGTGCAGAGCGATGCATTATATGAGTGACCTTTTTAACAGTTCTGTTTCTATGTACATTAAGGTAAGAAATTTAGTTATTAAAATGATGATAGCTGGGATTCTTACAAGTATGACATATTTACATTAGATTACCAGATTGAATATAAAGATGAATAAAGTCAACACCAACAGAAATATGAGGATATACAGAAGTAAAGGATTTTTTAACATGAAAGTATGACCCCAAGTGATGTATTTTTCTTTGCCAAACAACTAAAGGGCCAGAAGGCAAGGACTGTGCCATTTAAGTTTGAGGGCTGTAGGAAATGTAGCACTGACATAACAAAAACAAGTAACAAAAAAAATAGAGTGATAAAGAAATTATGGAACTAAATTTGTTACAGAAAATTGAAGAAAAAGATAATGTTACTAAGCAAGTGACATAATCAGCAACTCTTCCTAACTTCACACTTCTAAGCAAAACCTATCATGTTTTAAATACCTTGGATATTTCTGACACACATTATCCAGGGTTACGCTCTAACCTCCAATTTACTGTGCTCACAAACAACCACCCGTACAATGTTCATGTAGTAATACTTACTCAACACAGGAGGACAGCTTGATGGGAAAATATCACAGACAGATTCATGCAGTGGATGGCCAAATGCCATCTCATACAGAACATGGCCAAAACAATAAACATCAACAGCCTCCAGGGTTTGTATCTTCTTATGCTGAACAAAATATGGCCTGTAGTAGGATGGCAAACCCAGGACACCATTCTCAATGTCCAGGAGCTTCACTTCGCCATTTTCCAGCATGATATTACCAGTATGAAGGTGGCCTATAAAACATAATTCACCTATTATTATTTTTATTTATAATAATATTACCATATACCGCAGGAATGGTTCTCAAAACTTCCTCCTACCAAGACTGATTTCTAAAAAAAAATCAGAAACATAAAAAAGGACAAGTGAGCCGTGCTGCTTGTTGAATGTACTAGCCCAACATTTTTCTGGGCAGAAAATTAAACCCATGGAAAGCCTGTAAGGACAGTCAGTAGCCCAGTTGGGATCCAAATCAAATACTTCATAAACATTACTGCTTCATCAGCCTGCTTGATGGAGTATGTTAACATAAATGAAGAATATGTTCCAAAGACTAGAAAAGCATTTAAAACCACAGCAAATCAGACACTTATCCTGCAGCAGTTCACAAAATTTAACACAATGCATCAGAAAACAAAGTAATATACAAACAGAAAAGCACCACTGACAAAAATATGCTCCTTGCAGGGTAAAAGTAAAGATTGTCCCGCTATACGCCATGTAGGCGTTTGGGGTGAGTGGAGGTATAGCTCCTCTCTTTCTTGACCTCGGCACTAGATGGGGGTGAGTGGTCAGCATCACGCCCCGGCCGGCTTTACCCCCGGGAAAGGACCCCGGTACCCATTGTAGAGGAGGCTGGGTGGGCCCCAGAGCCGGTCTGGACGCAGAGGCTAGAAGAAAACCCTCTAACCCTGTCGGAGATCGAACCCCAGTCGTCCAGCCCGTAGCTAGTCACTATACTGACTGAGCTATCCCGGTTCATTCCTTGCAGGGTATTTTCATATTATAACATAAACTTATGACAACAGTTACCCAAAACAAGCGTTATCACTTGAATAACATACAATGTGGCTCTATTTGTACACAAATTACATAGCCTCTTACTAGTTTTTACAAGCATACACTGCCTCTAACAAAACAATGTGTGCATTACCAAAAGGAAGTCCTTTCTCACTAAGGAATCTGAGCACTTCGAGGATCTGTCTCCCAAAGCATGCCATATCACTTGGAGACAATGGTTTGTACTGCTTTGGGTTTCCGTATTTCTTCATGAACTGTAGCTTTGGTTTTGCAGTACACAGAAGATCCCGCAAACTTCCAGCATTGTTCAGTCCGCGCACCACGAATCCCCCAACTTCGTTGCAGTTCAGGAACTCAATTCCTTGAATATAAGGGTGCTGAAAATGCAACAATTAGTTTGTTAGCCACTTACCTTGCACTCTCAAGATAACATGGGTTAGAATTTATGCATAAAATATTCTATGTACCAGTTCCTACTCAAGGCTTTGTCCAGTCTAAACTATTGGGAGATATAATTTGGAATTCTGGAATGACAAAAAAGTTTAAAGTTATATTACATAAAACTACTTGCCTGTTTGTACACATCAAACATAACTTGGAAATGGACCAAGAGAAACATTAGCAGAATATAAGCAAAAAGATGAATTTTCTAAACAGTATTAAGAAATTAACAAGAAAGGTTAAATCTTAAACCAATATATTAGGAAACATTTTTATGATAAAAACATTACACTGGAAGTGTATGAAATCAATTATATGTTGGATATATTGGTACAGACATTAGTTATGAAAGCATGAAAATAATATTTACTTTTGAAGATCAAGATGATGGATAAAGAAATCACTATGGGGAACACAGACTAAACAGATGCATCTTGTAAGGGAAGATACATAAAACAGTGTAGGGTAAGAAGACACAGAGTTCACTTTAACAGAAAATATATTTTTTAACAAACTTGGAGGGAAAATGTAGCACTTCAATCTGTGACTACAAGATATCTTTTCTCAAAAGGATTATGTAAAAGGCTAGCAGTAGTGCAAAAAATGTTAAAACATTATTGCAATATATTACAGTACTTACCTGAAGGCCAGATATGCTCTTGAACACACCGTGTAAATCACGGTCTTCTAGATACTTGTCCGGTCCATGCTCAACCCACGATAGCAGCATTTCCTCTTTGGGGTTAACACGGCTTTTGACAAGAAAGTAATGTTTCCGCAACCTCCATCCAATTTCTGGCACAGGTTTTATTACTTCATAATTCACTTCACTTCTTAATATCATTGATACATGTTGTAATGCCAGCTCTAGAACATACACCACAAAACATTACTTATATCAGTTAATACCACAGACTACAAGAATAATATCACTAATACCCTGTTTATAAACAGAAGTGTGCATATAAACCGACCTTGGAATGGTGTGGCATAGTTTTCAGGATCCAGGAATTTCTTCACAGGCAATGATGATGCCAAAATAGGATTCATTAGGATCAAGTTTAAATAATTCTGAAACATAAATAATAAACATCACAACCTTTAAATTTTATAAAGTCATATGACACATTATCCTTAAGGATAAACCAAATACTGTTCATATGTTTAATTCTGCATACACATGAGAGGTCACTTCTGGACACAGACACTAGGGAAAAAATCCTCTGCCTCCATCAAGGATCAAACCCTGATCATTCATTCCATAGTCAGTCACTATACTCACTAAGCTACCTGGCTCATCTGAGACAAGCCACAGAGACTATAAAGCATCCTAGAAACAATGACAGAGAATTAAAAAAAAAGTGCTGTCCACCTTAGCTTATATTTTATCTAAGTTACAACATATTTGGTTGTTCAATTCATTAACTGCATTTTTTTCTAATTAATGGTTCATTAGCCATTGTGGCTAGTCTCTGGATCAAATCAACTACAAAATTTCACCCAGGTACTCTTCACAATGTTAACTGTGTGTTATTTTACAGATCATTCACAAATTAAATTCACACAGTCATAACATCTAAATGACAAAATTACATTTTCAGTTTTAATTCTTACTACTGTCTTACATTCTATGCTGTCATCCTTGTTATATCACTTGGTTTAATTTAATTAAGGTACCAACACAGAAATTTGTATAACTTAGAAACAAATGTGACTAAGATTCCAATTAACTAGCATCCAGCTTGGGTCACTGAACAATCACAGACAACCTTCCCCCTTCCAGACATACAAATACATACCAATTAACAGACAATTTTAGACACTTACAATGGGTTCAAAATATATAACACTTCTAAGCAAGCAGCATGACTCAATACTGAGAACCAAACAGCACACTGTTATATGTAGATCTACATATGGTGCTGATCTAGTGTACTTACACTTCTTTGCAAGTATTCTGCATAACCCTCAGCCAGTAACCTTTAAATCCATGTATAATTTAGAACAAAATGAGAGAATACTTCCAATGTATGCAGTACCCGATAATCAACACTTTACCTGAAGTCCCGTTTGTCTTTCAGCTATAAATTCTCTTTCCATATTACCAATGAGTTTCTTTGGAGGAAGAGGAAAATTAAGTCCAGATATCTGAAGCAAATTATGGAGAGAAACAAAATCATTGTAACGCTTATATATATGCCACGTCTTCTCTGGTAATGGTCCGCGCTGAACACGTATGATATATTCCTGAAAAATAAAAACTCTTAAGAGACCAAGTCTACAAAAAAATATAAACTGTCATAAAGTTTTGTAAGCAAGTCACTGTATTTAAGCAATGCAAGATTTCATTCAATAATTCAAATGTCCTATGTCCAATTAAGTTTTCTTTTACATGAGTATTAATATAAATAAACTGGAATATATTGGAGTTTTCAAAAATGTCATTCATCAGGCCCCAGTCATCATAGACAAATGAGTATACTACAGTGTCATTCGGTAGGAAACTCTCACTTCACTTCAGCTCATTTCCTATTCTGCCTTCTGTTTCATCTCTTACTGAAGATGGTTGTCTTCTGGGTTGTAGCACCGTGTAATCTAGCAGAAATTTACCAACATTTCAGAGGTCCTTGGTGCACCTATCATCAGGGCGATCATAGCCCTGACAATGAAGGACCTCTGAAACATTGGTAAACTTCTACCAGATTTCATGATGCTAAAACCCAGATGATGGCCATCTTCAAACTCACCACAGTGAAAACCTCAAACCTACATACATTACTTACATCTTTATTACATTCCATGGATCCATAGGATAGTCAGATAACAATAGGATGTGGAAAAAGTCATAACAACAATACAATATATATTACAACGTACAATTCATACTATTATATAAATTTAACATAATACAAACAAAGGGTCCACCTAGATTAATGATAAGTTACAAATAAATGTACCCATCACATACAGATGATACCTACTTCATCTCTCACTCTTTTAGAATAAGGATTTATTTACAGTTAATAGATCCATAGATCTCAATAGTCCCTTCCCTTTCATCGTAATTTAATTTCTCAGTCTATCAGAGATTAACATTTTTGATTATTGAATTCTTTGAAACAAAAAGCTTTCATACAAGAATCAATACTACTAGTTACATGTTCATTACTGCTGAGTGGTTAGCACTCTTGATATATGCTACTTACAGCACTATTAAATAAACCACAGGAAAAAACACACATGAATCAAACCATTATTCTTTCCCAAAGAGATCAGTAAGATGACACACAAAATTTTCCCTCAACAACTTTCACTCCACTCTGCAAAATATAACTCATGTTGTTGGTTCTACTATTTGTTACTTTAAGGATACGATGTCAATCAATAGTAAGAAGACAAGAGTATACATTCTCACCTTTAACCACATTAACATAAACTTTAAATTGTACAAGTTAAAATGTTAACATATTATAGCAATGGTATACCATTATCAAAATATGTGACTAGCCCTGCCCATCGAAAATTAATTTACATTACGTGAAGAAAGTCGTATACCTAATGATGTGTACTCAATGTGGGAATAGGTAAACCATGAGCAGAAAATTCAGGAAACTAAAATTACATTCAAGAGTGGTTACCAAAGGACAAAAGACATATTTTAACAGCAAGTCCCAAGTGACCTAGCATTTAGTAACACATTTCAGACTGCATTACATCACTATTGCAGCTCCCAACACTCATCTTCAATCGGAGTGCATATAACGTAATAGTATAGGTGTGAAATGTGATCATATGGAAAGTGCCAAGATATCGTCGGGGAGTTCCCTTATCCAAGAATTGTTTTTACCAGTTACACTTACCGTGTGTCCCTGAATGTTCTGTGCATTCTCAAAAATACATGTCAGCACTTGTGTATCATCTAAAAATACTTTTCTTGGAATTATTTTCTCAAAAACAGCCATTGAGTACTACAACCTTTAGCCTGAAACGACATTGGTGCACTTATTTTCATCCATAAGGAAATCTAAAACCCCATGACGTTTTCCGCCATTTTTAGAAACAAATTACGTTAAACCTGCGCAAGTAGAATATTAATTTTCACGATCTTTAGATTAAAATTACATAAGATCATTCATACAGGGGCCTCAGCATTCCGATCCTCGAATACAGTGGCTGTCATGAATATTTTTACTTGACATAACACAGTTCGTCTTGAAAATGTGATGGACACTGATCTAGTCGAAATTCTCCACCTTTCATTGTAGTCCAAAGGTCCATACCGTATTCACAATAGCCAATAACTGTCATTATCCTGAACCAGATAAATACAACACACCCTCACATTCTACTTTTATACAGCTTATTTGAATATTGTCTTCACATTTACAATGACATCCCAAGTTGTTTGCCGATTAACATTTAGTATGCATTTATCATCTCATACGTACTACATTTCCCCTATCTCATCCTCCTGGAAAAAAATCACGCTAACAATATTTGAAACTATGTTTCACACTTTTAAAGTATAACATGTAAAACATTGTGCATTTTAATCTCTTCGTTTTCGGGTAAGAGCCCAGTGTGTCGCAACACTAAGGGATATTTAATGTTCTTACATTTTGGAATTTTATAATCGATAAGTTGCCATCATTGATCACTTAAATGGCGTCAACTATAAACAGAAACAAGGGAAGATTCTGAAGGCTAATTAATCATTTAATAATACATTTTAAAATATTTGAACTTCCTGTGCAATGTTTGACTATCCTGCGTACAAGTTACACATTGAAGAGTTAAATATGTGTATCAGAATCGTTGATCAGTCTTGGAAATTAGAATTGAAATTGGAAAAATTTCCAAACATAACCAAGTTTATAACCTTCAAATATGTGTGGCTCCAGGGGTTTATTGAGCAGACAGCTGGAAGAGAGAAAGAAATTATTATCGTCAGCGATAAAACTGGTAGAGTTAAGGTCACTCATTGCAAAACAGTACCTGGAGGCAGTTCTTGGATGGTTAAAGGTATGTATGTAACTAAGTTACCAGACGTTTTGTAAATGTTTTAGGATGGTGTAATGAGAGTCAAGTTAAAACTTAGTACTACCATTTATATTTGCAGTTTTCATGTATATATAAACATACTTACAAAGCCATAGTGCCAATTCTTGCAGATGCCTGCCTAACCTAATCATATCCAATATATTTTTCTTGGTAGCCTCCCTTCTTCTAAGTGGACTTCAAATGGAGTGTCTTTGCTGCCAAGCTATCTTTATGCATCTGTTTGTCTTTGTTGTCACTTTGGAATTTTAATTGCACAATACAAATACCTAAGGTCTAAACATGTGGAATCAAACCTGTGCACATGAAAGATGCTGTACTTTTTAATACTGTCATCTTTATTAAGAACCCTACAAATAATCATTGGGGAATGTTACTTTATATCAGTATTATGCTTATATTCATTTCTGTACTTATAAATTGTCTCACATTTATGCAGATGCCTGTTACCACCAGAAAATTATTTTACAGCCGATTTATTCTTGTTTTAGGAAAATACTGTTCTGTGGTGGGGACCTTAGTCAAAGAATCTGGACTGCCTGAAGTTTCTGCAGTAAAGGTTACAGACTTAAGTAGAAGTCCTGTGTTTGCTTCAATGTGGCATCTTGAAGTGGAAGAACTTAAATTGCTACTTATAGAACAAGCAATGCCTAAATTATGTGATTAATGGAACAGTTCCCTTGTAAACTGGGTGTTTTGTCTTCATTTAACATGTAAATATTTGTAAAAATAACTTTATTGTTATCTACATAAAAATATAACATTAGCAAGGTTATTCAAGTTTACTGTACATTAAAAGTGAGCACTGCCTTGCATTTTTGTAACACCTTTTTGCTGATAAGTAATCCTATGCATTTTCAGATAGTCTTAATCACATAATATTAACATTTTACACATGTGAAGACTGTATACAACAAGACTTCATTTATTAAACACTCAGATTTAATAGTAAAGATAATTTCATTTTATGAGCAATGAGCTGTGGACAGCTACTATACCATTACTTCATGCCATACAAAGTACCATCTAGCAGTCATCTTAAATATTTTAAATAACAACAAGATAGTCAGATATGTTCTCAGCATTTTCTTTTCTTTTTTTGCTGTGAAAAATAGCAAATATAAAACAGTATAGTATTTGATGTTTCAATCAATTCAGTAATACCCACAATGAAGCTGCTTAGTGAACACCTTATTCATGTAACAAATTAGCAGACAACTTTTCCATGCAATATTAAATTAACATCATTACACCTTCTAAATAGTAACCTCTTCAAATAAGCAAGTAGTCCATACTCATACAAACACACAACACACATTTCAACTAGTATGGGCAATAACAGACCCTGTTTTAGATGTAAAGTACTCTGTGAGTGTACAACTTCTTTTAATAAAATAACCTGTCAAAATTATCCATGTGCTAATAAATAATGTTAAAAAAATAGAAGTGCAGTCTACTGCAACATGTTGTAGTATAAAAGAAATCTCATTTCCACGAAGAGCAAAGAAGGTATGCTTTAACAAAGTATATCAAAATGGGGCACTGGCAACTACAGGAAGAATGTACAGTGTTTTGTGTTATTACAACATTGGTTAAAAAATTTACTCATGTGGGCTCAATGCCTTTAGCAACATCACACTGCACCTTCCAGCTGTCCACAAAATGCACTGAATATTACAGATGACAGGACTAGATCTTTCTCTACCCAAATTTCTATCAAATGGGTATTGTTGATAAAAGCAGCCAGAATGTTAGACTAACCTCCCACCTCTATCTAGTTTTAAGGGCTGAGAATACATGGAGCTTTACCTCCACAGCCCCTGCATGCCATAATCACATGGTGCTTAAGGCACAGGGGTAACTTCAACTTTTACCTAAGTGCTGCTATAATAATGATGGAGGGCTCTAAAATTCCAAACATACAGTTTTAATATTTGGTTCTTTCTTATCATCACTATTGTCCCTGTTTCCTTTCCATCATCAGTGCTCATATTCAAAATCTAATAAAATTGGTTCCTCACATCATTCTAAATCCTGTATCAAAATCACAAAGTTTATTCGAATAAAGTATCTTTATGTTAATAGTCCCTTAGAATACTCTGAAAACATGTGATACCTAAGAATAGTACCAGGGAAGACAATAGAAAATGTCATAATCACAACACAGAGTATACCATTACTAACAAGTACATGGTTTGCAACATGACCACCAAGTTTAAGAGCAAATGTTTAAATTAGTAGGTTTTACAAATTCTTAGCTGTATTACTCATTTCTCTTCTAGTCATATCAATATGGAAAGCATGAACTGAGCAATTAATGTAGCATACATAAAAATGACCAGCAGCTTGGTATCAAATTCAATATTGAGCATTGGTTCTTTCTCCAACTAAAATGGACATGTCCTTACTTTAAATTAATCATTAACCTCCGACTGCAACTAGTGGCTTGAAACAGCTTTACTAAATGCAGTATTAGCTTCGCTATGGATACCTACATCATTTAATAAACATACAATATAATATAAGAATAATTACTACTTGACCTAACAAGTTCAGTCATATGTTAAATAAAGTCAGAGTAACAGAAGCCCAGATGAGTAAAACTATGCTTACAGACCCTAAATATAATCTGTAAACAAAGTCATGTTTTACCTGCTGCCTATTACTGTATGTAAATTTGCCCATCCATGTGTGTGGAAAGTTGCAGGTCTTTTACTGACTCATATTCTCAGCTCTGCATTTACAGAATTTGTATCTTTCACAACTAAAGTCTGTGTTCAACCATTAAGTTTTATGATTTGTTGGAGCATTTCAAGAAAAATGAAGATCAAGAATAGCTGTCCCCATTCACTTAAAATAAGTCAGGCATATAAGACAAAAGTAGGGTAAACATATTTTCATTATGGGCTGTCAGAGAGTTTTGTGAGTGAATACAATAAAATGCCATTATTTCATGTCTTGTGCCTTATTTCCACAACATTCCTCTCTAACCTTTCTTTTGTTTCCTAATACTATGGTTCTAATTTTTTATCCTCTAATTACAGCTTGAAATATGGCTGATTCATCACGTTCAGTGAAAACACATTTCATGTAGAAATACAGTATGGTATCAGCCACAATGGAAGCACAACACTACTGGGTACTTGCTTAATTTACACATCTGATAAAATCTGTAATTTAATAATTCAGTAGTCACTAGGTGACAGAATTTGTTTTTATTCCATTTACAAATTATTTTTAATGATGGAATCAATATGATATATACTGAATAATTATTTTAAATGTCAATGCAACTGAAGTACCAAACAAGGAACTTTCCTATGTTCATCAACAGTAATAAATTAACAATTTGTAGATGATGCTTCAATGTCCTCTTTTTTAAACGTTATTCAATATTTACAAAAAAACAATACTATATATTAAACTTCGTTGTTAATCTTTAGGCTGTACTATGAACATGAAAAATTATACAAATAAAATACCATTGTACTACAGTTCTGAACCATCACCAAATGGTCAGTTAGGCCTACTTGAAGGGTTTGGGGATTATATTTATTTTCTTTGAACTTCACTGATTTTAAGAAACACTCTTCAGTATTTCTCTTCTTATTCACACATTTTTATCATATCACATTATTACCTTTGACTGCATGTCTGACCAACCATTTGGAATGCAGTTTTAGGATTCACCCAGATAGACGATGATTATGATAATGGTAGCTTTCAAAGATCAGTATCCTACTATGATACTGTACAACCTGAACTTTCCATTGCTTGCTCTTTTGCTGCTTCCATAACCATCTGGTCCCTCACTTCATCTGCACTGTTTCTCTCAATGATCCTGTCACTTCCAATATTACTCAAACTATTCTCAAAGAGAGTGTCAGACTTGGATGATTTTTCATCAGCATTCCTTGATCCACTGCTTGGTCTGTCCTGACATGTACTTCCCTCAGCTATCCTCCCATCAAGCTCAACTGCTGACAAATTATTAGATCCTGAAGCCATCTGTCCACTGTTTGATTGATTTCCTCCATCCCGATTAGAACTGGTCCTTCGAGATTGAGACAACCTTGGTGAAGATGATGTATTCTGTTGCTGCTGCTGTTCTTTGCTGCACAGCAACTTGCTTAGTACTGCTATCTGATTCTGAATGGCTACCATGAATGGTTTGTATCCAAGGCTGCAGTATTAAAAAAACACTCGCATATAAAAAGCATCATTAACAAATTAAAGATATTATGTAGTAAACAGACAGGATTACACAAGGTTCACACTGAGCTTGGTTTATAAGAATTCCTTCATTCTTCTGAACTGCAAATGCGCTGTTTTTAAATGCATGATAACAGACAGAAAGAAGAGAATAATAATGTCTCTTCCAGAAAATACAATGTTCCTGGGGCTAGTGTTTGACAACAGAAGACCAAGAACAATTACTAGATGCACGTTTCCCTTGAAGAGCATTCTACGGATCAAAATCAAGTCATTATTAAGTGATGGAATAAAAGATGGGGATATCTGTGCCAGAAAACAGTACCTAAGAGCTTTATCTGAGCAAGTAATCAAATAAATTAGTTTCCCTTAAAGGGAAGAAGGGGGGGGGGGGGGGC